GTACCGTGACCATGGAGTGAGTTGCTGACTGCCTCTTAAGAGCTTGCGTTCATCTGAGCCCAGTGGCAGGGAGGTGCAGTTGTTGCAGAGACTCTTCTAAGGTGCCCGTTGTGTGCACAGTGATCCAGGGGAGGGCACAGGATCGCTCCCGCTCCTTGTCCCTTCCCAGGACCAGAGGGGTGGATAGTGCTGATGGGAAACAGCACGGCTGCTGAATTGAGAAGGCCTGAATGCGACTCCCAAACGTCTTCTGCCCCCTGCTCCCCTCCTGTGGGGGAACAGAGCAGAGTGGGGGACAATCCCATGTGTTGGGATGCTGCTCAGAGCCTGGGGGAAAGGAGGGGCCTGGGGCTGGTAGACGTTCCTCCTCTCGGCAGGGGAATTCAGGCAGGGCTGTGCCTGGCCCTGGAGCATCCTTGAGGGGCTTGGGTGGTGACTGTGCCATCTTCCCTTCCTAAAGCTGTTCACAGGAGAGGCTTTTTAAAGATTTTGAGCTATTATTGTTGCAAAAATGCTGTAGTTTAGACTGGGGAGGTGAGATAGGGAAGGAGCAGAAGCTGAAGGGTGAAGCAGAGCGGGATGGTTGCACCCAGGGTGGCACCACCCACAGCCAGAGACTGAGGTGGTCCCAAGGGCTGGGCTTGGGCCTTCCCAGTCATCCCAACCTCAGTCATTTTGTACTTGTGGTAGTTTTGATGGGCTCTGGAGCATCCCAGTGTCAGACGTTTTCTTGAGACAGAAATCCTGCAGTGCAGCTGGCGGGTAAGGAGAGCAAAATCACCGTACGGCTCTCCATGCCCGAGAAAGTAGGGCGTCCATTCTTCTTTGATGTATGCACAGCAAGAGATTGAGTGGAGAATGGGTGGCCTCGGTGCTCGTTTCCCATAGCACAAAAATAACTCCAAGCAACCCAGTTTCAGCTGAAGTTGTTTATTACTCATTGTCCTCAATGAACTGTTGAAAGGAAGGATGGTGCTTGTGTTCTGTGGCTTTTGGTGTAATTGCTGCTCCTGAGGCTTGTCTGAGTGTCCTTAGTGCTGGTAATGAGCGATGGGAGCTGGGGGGCGAGGGGGAGAAGAGGCGCTGTGAGAAGAGCTGTGTTAAAAGGGTTTAGTGAGGTGTTAGGTCCTGCAGGTAAATTTGCTCTAAAATCTGCCCCATTTTGTCTCCAGTCTCCACAGCCAAGGCGCTGGGGGTGGTGCAGTGATCAGCTTTTGACAGAGATCGTTGTAAGAGGTTCAGACATGGTATTTTTGCAGCCCTTTGGCGTAACCCTGTGCCAAGGAGAGATATGGAGCTGATTGTGCTGATTGTACACTGAGCCTTGTAATGGGTTTTCTGCAACCCGGTGATGAGCAGCTGCAGGAGAGGGAGCAGGGAGGCCTTTGTGGGGCCCCCCCTCCCAGGTAATGGGGGACAACGCTTCTCTCCAGAGCTAGGAGAGCGGTGGGGGAAGCGGCAGTCTTGTCAGTGAGGTCTGTGATACTGGGCTGCTAAAAACTTGCTGCTTTTCCTGATTCCAGTATCTTCAGAAGTCGTGGATGTATGTGTGTGGGGTTGTTAAACTGGTGCACCAAAATTGGTGTGTTTCTTGTCAAAACTGGTACATTAAGTGGTTAGATTCAACCTCATCCTTTTAATGAATCTCTGATGACTCCAAAGAGCCATTCCTATCAGGATCTAGAAAGCAAACACTTATAGGCTGATAAACAAAGGTGAAGCTGGGTACAGACTGTTTTCTCACGCACAGCTCTGTCCTGTCCTGAGACCAGTTGAGTTTGGAGCAGTATGAAGAACATCAGATAAATCCTGATCCAGAAAGCGAGTTTAGACTTGACAAGAAAACAAATGGTGAGTCAGGAAGGAATGTTCATTCTTGGCAGTCCAGCAAATGAGGCAGTGAAAAAAACCGAAAAGAGCTGAAATCCAGATCTCTAAGGGCTGCTCTCCAAACAAGTGGAAAGGTGAGTCTCAGATACCGGTTAGTCTGACAATAAGTAACTCCTGAATTTTCTGCAAGCCCCTCTAAACCTGTTGCTGCTTAGGGTCTCCCTTAGAGGGTGATGCTGGTCCCAGTTACCTCCTGGCTGGCACTTGAAAAATGAGAACCAAACTATCCTTATTTCATTACTTTTTAATTGCTTCTTATTGACTACCTCTGCCATGCTGCATAGTGCAGGGTGATTTTTTTTTTCTCCTTGGTTTAAAAGCCTCCCCCCATGTGCCCATTGAGAGGAGCAGGAGGGCAGGCAGAGGAGGGTTGCTGAAGGATGGCGAAACACCAGTGACTGCATTGGCGTTTTGGGTAGCCAGCTCTTGCACAAAGCACGTGTATCTGGCAGTGACCAGCTCCTGCAGCGGCAGAGGAAGAACTGTGCTGTTTTACCAAAAGATAACAACTTCTAACTTAAATATTCTGCTGGGGGAGTGAACTAGGAAGTCAGCATTGATATGGTCTCTCTTCTCATCTTCTCTCTCTTTGCTCTTTCTCTTCACTCTCCTCCAGTGATGCTGGTGGCCCTGGTGATACTGAGAAAGCGTGAACCCATTTCTCCATGTACACCTCCTCTGATCCGTACCCAGCACCCATCTGCCGTTTCCTCTGCTGTTCACAGGTAAACAGAAATACCTCTGCGCCAGCCGGAACGACTGCACCATCGACAAGTTCAGAAGGAAAAACTGCCCGTCCTGCCGCCTGCGGAAGTGCTACGAGGCTGGGATGACTTTGGGAGGTACGGTCTGGGGAGTGACCCTGGGGACCCTGCAATGGGCTGAGGCAGGGGGCTATGCTACAGGTAACGAATACGCTCGGCATGTTAATAATCAGGAAATATCTGAAAAAGATGAGGCTGATGGAGGGCAATAAGCTTCTGGAAACATTTGCAGGTCTCTAATACCAAAACTCTGAATTTCATTAAGTTTTTGTTTGAGTTTCAGGAAACGTTCTTTTCCTTAATTTAAAAGCTTGTTAATCTGAGAAAATGTAAACAGCCGAGTAAGCTGGATTCGAGCTCACACTGAAGCCTCTTTGTACAGAACACTCCCATTTTATGATGATTTTTCCCAGGCAGGAAGGGGCATTTTTCTTTATGAAATTACAGCCCCAGTTTTTTCTTTGCTGAATGGAAGTTGCTCCTGTGTCACCAGTAAAGATCCTTGTTACTGTTTGTCTCTGTTCCAAAACCTGTAGCTCTACTAAAACCCATCAGAGTGCCTGTCTCCAAAATCGGAGGTTTTCTGCTCAAAATCTAGAAGCTACAATATAGATCATTGAGTGGTTCATCTTTAAGTTCATTTGATGTGAGAGTGAGGAAGAAAATACCCAGGACACCAGGGCTGATGGACCTGGCCCATGATGAAAAGGCACAAAGACAGAGAAGCGGAGAGGTGTCATGGGTGGTACAGAAAGGAGCATCCATGGAGCGTGGGGGAGCCTTGGCTGCTGGACTGCTGGGACGTTGTGCTGAAGAACTTGCTACCGAAAAGGTTCTGGTTTATTGCTCATTGAGGAGCAGTGGTTTTGATTTTATTTCTCTCCAGAACAGTTCTTCCAGACCATCACCAGTCTGTCCCATGGCCGTGCCTGCCCACGTACCTTGCAGCAGTTCCTGGTGACAGTCACGTTCGTGGCCATTTGTAGTCCTGGCTTCCTGGTGAATCAAGGAGTCTCCTCCAGGACCCTTCCCTTGTTGGCCTAGGAGGACTGGGACCAGGTCTGGGACCAGGATGCCACCACTCTGCCAGTGATGGGCTCCTGAGCTGGGGGATGGAATTGAGGAGCCAAACGCAGCTCCCCAGTCCACAGCTGGCGGAAGGGCTTTGTCATGCCATGCCAAACAACCATGTTCTTATTTTTAAGTGCTATTTTCTGGTTGAATTTCCTTAAATAAGAGAAGACATACAGCAGCATAACCTTCTTATGCAGGACACACTGACAAAATTAATGCTAATACTGATAGCTCTCCCCTTCTACCCCCCCTTTTTTTTTCTTAAGCTCTGTCGGTCACCCTGACCTGTTCTGCCTGGTCTGTTTTACATTTGTTTTGAATGTCGGTTTAAAGGCAATTGTTAAAAAACATGCATCCTATGAGTTTAACCACAGTTATTTCTCCCACAGTAGAGAGGCAGAGCATTTGAAAACGCTTCCAAGCCCCAAACAGTTGTTTTTAGCTGCCTGTTAATTACCAGTCACTTGCAGGGTATAATAGAGCCGCCTGCGACTAGCAGACCTCAGGATGTTTAATGAGAGGAGGAGGTGACACGCTGAATACCTTATTTAGAACTCGGCTTTGGCACAGAATGGCAATATGCCGAAGCACTTCATTATTGATTGAGATCACTCTGACCTGCAAGCTGAAATCCATTAAACAGAATCTTCTCTCCTGATCAGCACTGGAAAGCCAAGGAAAGGGCAGGGGTGGGGGAGAAATAAAAAGAGAAAAAGTAAGAAAAAGTGGTAACGGTGCTTTAGTGTATTTGGTTTTGCTGGTGCACCATCCTGCCTCTCTCACAACAGGGACCCCCGGTTTTATGGCACCTCCTGTTTGTTTGCTGCCAATGTGTGTTAATCACGGCGTGTGAGGTGCTGTGGGCTGTTCCAGCCCTGAGAACCAAATGTCTCTGCCCTCACTGTGGGAATGATGCTGTGCACCCTCAGCCCAGTGACCGCGCTCCATGTGGGTCCTGTCTTGGGGGCAAAACCTCCCAGAAATGTGAAATGCTGTTAATGTCATTGATAGTAGGGCTAGAAAACTGCTGTAGTGACTGCCAGTAGCCTGGGAAAGCCCAAGGCATGAGTCATACCGGTGTTTAGTCCTAATTCAGGTCCAATTGCTGTGGTTAAAATAGAGCTCATATCTTACAAGAACATTTGATATTGATGTAAGCATTTCCAGCAGAGGAGGCTCTAACACGTTTTTGCCTTGCTGTTGCAGTAGTTAATTTTGTTTAGTGTTGTGATAGATGTACCTTATTTTTCATCTTGTCCACCCTTGATTTCCAGCAACTGGATCTTTATTACAGCTTTACTCACTAGATTGAAAAAGTGCTTTTATTGAATTCCTGTCCTCCCAGTGGGTATTGTTGGCTGTGGCTTAGCAATGCTTTAGCCTTCTGCATAGCCATGTAGGTAATATTCTTCACTTCCTTGCTCCGAGGTGTGTTGCCTGGTCTTTGCTGTTCTCACAGCTTCTGCAGTTCGCCAACGCCTCCCTCATATGGTGAAAGTCTCATCACCATCACTGGCTGGGTTTCTCCATCAGCTTTTGGTGCAATTCTAACTGTCGAGGATGGACTTGGACGTTCACTGCATGGGGCTCGCTTTTTTAATTGCTCCATCGATCTACTTACAGTGAAATGTGCTTTGCTTTAGTAGACTGAGCTTATCAGCAGACCCGGATCGATCTGTTTGATGATCAGTCCTTAATGTTTGTTACTGTTTTCCCACCTTGGCATTGCCATACAGACTTTTTTTAGTAGAAATGGTTAATCTTCTCTTTGGAATGGGTGTAAACATTCACTAGCAAAGGGCCATGTGTAACCCGCATAAGAAACAAACCCGTCTGATGTTGTTTCAACATTTATAATTACTTTTGAGAATTATCACCTGGGTGATTTAAAATCATTCAGCCATACCATCTGATTTTATGCCATTCAAGTTTTTTCAATTCACGTGGGCCAGACTGACTCAGATCTCTTAAGCATGTCTGCTATACCAATACTGTTATAATTATCAACTGAAACCATTGCGCCAGAAAAGACTGATAGCTTGACAGGGTCTGGTTTTGACAAGCCACATGTTGATAATTTAAAGAACAGGATGTAAGTCAAGTCCTGTTTCAGCTTCTCTTGACATTTTGCCTGCAGCGAAATCTGTGATGATATGTTCTCCGACACGGAGGGGTTTCATTTACCACTGCAGTCTCGGAGCCAGCATGGTTGGTTGCTTGCGCTCTTCTTACTTCACTCAATATGTTTTACTACTAGATAATTAAATTTTAAGAAAAAAACCCAAACATTTAAACCAAACCATGTGTGTGTTTTGTGCAGTGTGGGTTTGGCTCCATTTATGCACAGGGCCCGATGGGCACTAGTTATTCAACTTTGGAAGATGCAGTTTGGTTTTTGTTTCTTCTTTTAATTTTGGCAGCTTTTCTTCCCGTGCCACATTCCCATCCCTAAAGGCCCCATTGCCAAGCAGGAGCACGGGATGTGGCTTCTGCCTCAGGTGGAGTCACCCGGTCCCTCCTTCCCAAATCAACACTGGGTTGGCTGCAGGACATCTCACTGTACCTCAGCTCTGCTTATCTGCTGCTCTCTCTTATTTTTATTACTCCTCTCCATTTTTACAGAGCAGTCTGTTTTAATTTCTCTTATGGTAGATTATCCAGAGTACATTGCTTAAAGATCAGCGTTTGGGATTGATTTATAAAGCTGCACTTTAACTTGACGTTTTTATGTTTTGCTGCTTATTTTTCTAATTACAGCTGAAAGGAAATTTGAGATAAGTATCGTGTAGTGAAAGAGCCAAAACCCTAAGGACAATTGGTTTGATGTTCTGTTCTCTGCTTGAATTAAGTGATCGGCTCTTTTCCTCTAATTAATTAGGTGTTTTTGAGTCAGTAAGGGGTGAAAGCTGTTCCTATCAGCAGTAGCCTGCCAGCCTGTGTTGTAGATATCAAATTAGGTGATCACTGATTGTCCAAGAATTTTGAAGACACGTATGTGAAGCTCCTGGTGTATCTTGCTAGCAGACTGGCATCTGTAATTAAGAGCTGGGTGCCCAGGAGAGACACTTCGTCACGGTGCCATAGGAGAAAGCTTTCGTCCCGCTTGCATCCCACTTCCACGCTGGCCTGGGATGGAACAATCTCACCTGAGCATCCAAATGCAATGGTTTTTTTCCCCTGGAACGTGAGCACCTATGGAGTTTATTTGCTTGTATTGCTTCCCTTTTTAATTGCGTGTAAGTGGTTGTTTGAATCGAGTCATCTCTTCTCTTTTTTCCCTGCTTCTTTCTCTCCATTTCTAAGTGGAAGTTAACGTGATGGCTGAGGATAGAAATGGTGCTTGTTCTTTTCCTTTTAAGATTAACGAGCAGATGAATTTCCTTGCACAGTGTGTGCTCCCTTTTGTCCTTAATGTGAGGTCTGCGATGCCGGGGCACTCCTTGGGCGGCGTGCACTGAAGGAGTAGCTGCTGTTGGCCATCGGTTTCCCTTTCCTCATAAATACAAGTGGTGGAGCTGGAGGCCAAGAAACCTCAAGGTTTTTTGTTTTTTTTCATTTATTTTTAAGCCTTACACAAAAATGTGTCGTTTCGACAGCCCGCAAGCTGAAGAAGCTGGGTAACCTGAAGACACAAGATGACGTGGAGGCAGCCAGCTCATCCAGCCCCACTGAAGAGCAAGCTCCCAAGATGGTAATGACGCGCATTGATGGGTATGAGTGCCAGCCCATCTTCCTCAACGTCCTGGAGGCCATCGAGCCTGGCGTGGTGTGTGCCGGCCACGACAACAGCCAGCCGGACTCCTTCTCCAACCTGCTGACCAGCCTGAATGAGCTCGGGGAGAGGCAGCTGATCTACGTGGTCAAATGGGCAAAGGCCTTGCCAGGTGAGGAGGAAAACTCATAAATCCCATCCCTTCCCCTGGCGTGTTCCTGAAGCCCCCCTGCTTGGATTGCCTGGGTTTGAAGGAGGTGATTGGCAGCCTGTGTCCCACCATCACACAGTTCCTTGGGGAGCATCCTCACGAGGTGCCTGGCTGTGCAGTGTCTCCATAAGCAGGCTGCAGCAGCATCAGGTTTGTCTATTTGGGGGGCTGGTTGATGGGAGAGGTGGCTAATGGCTGACTCCAGTATGTCCAAGTGTACACTCGGGGGTCTGATAACCCCAGCACGTGGTACTGTGCACTGCTCCTTGTCAGGGGTTCAGGGTCTTGCTCTCTTCCCACTCTCCCTGCGAAGGTTTTGCTCTGCTTCCAGGGCTGTGTCCACCAGACCTGCAGAAATCTTCTCTAAACAAGAATTGACCCCATCCCATAACCTGTGTATAGTGGTGAAAAGGGTAGATTCCCCAGGTGAATCAGAAATGTGGCACTTCATGGTGTGAAAGGGAGATAGGGGAAACTGAGCTGAAAGGAGCCGAGGCTTGAGAGATGGGAGAGATCTTTCCTTGCCGTTTTTGTGTTTCACAAGGCAATTAATTGTAAAGTAGCAAGCGAGACATACAAAATCCCAAAAGGCTCCTTCCTGGCAGGTTGCTCTCATGTGACATGCTGCTGGAATATACTTATGATGCATTCGGAGTCATGATACAGGAGTAGGTTAGGGTCGGAAAGTTTCCAAATGATAATGGTTATCAGGTGCTGGAGATGGAAAAGTCCCAGTGATAGTTGCGTTTCACTGAACACACTCCTTGGATGTGAACACAGAGGTTACCAGCCTGTTACACGCTCCCCGTTACGTGTCGTAATCCTGCCAACTGAACAGGTGAGATTGCAGAAGGCTGAGATCATTTGGTGCAGTGGGATCCAGTTCAACTCCAGTATCCCTGAGGCTGGGGCGTGAGGAGGACACCAAGCCGCCTTCCTCAGCGTGACCTGGTTCCTCAGGAAATGCCACAGAAAGCAGAAATCCTATTCTTTATGTGTGGGGTGATATGATCGAAGGAGATAACCGAGGCAAAACAATTTTGCCACTGTGTGCCAAAACCTGGTGATGAACTGGAGTTTGACATTTGATGTTCCCGGAATTTAGCAATCCCCCTGGAAGTGGCTTCATTGGTGGTCCAGGAGGGGTGATAGTCTGAATATGCGTAAATGCACAATAACCCATTCTATTTATTATATTCTCAAGTCAGAAAAGGTTCACCTAGCTTGTGAAACCGGGGACAAATCATGCTTTCTGTTCCGACTTATCTCCATCAGACATCAAGATTTCTTCAGAAAAGTACACGGAGACACCACCAAACCCCGGCAGTCCGGGGGCTGAGGCTGTAAAACTGCGGTAGTGCTAATGGAAAGGGAGAGTGCTTTCAAAAACATTTTTCATCATAACCACCCCCTTATCAAAGGCTTTTACTCACTTGATCTCACCTCATCTCCAACCCTGTGGTGCGTGGTGGTGCAGCGGTACCAGCTGCTGCACCGCTGCCTCCCAAGGCTGTCGTCTGCTCTGCCAGTGATAGATTTGGACAAAAATAATTATAATCTTCTTAAATTAGAGCAGTCACCAGGCTCTGTGCAGCTGCAGTGTAACTACTACCCTCTCCCAGACCAGGGGATCCCATCCGGATCCCAGCTCTCCTGCCAGGGCCTGCAGTGGTGGGATGCTGTTGGCGCTGCCCTGTACCCACTGCGCCCACCTTGCTTTTTGGATAAACCTGCAGAATCCTACCTTGTAGGCAGAGGTGGTTTGCTATCTGTCCTTTATTTAAATGACATTTTGGTTGTTAAAGCAGAAGTGTTTTCAGTTCCCGGGTGTACAGGTTGGCCAGCCAGCCTGGCGCTCAGTGAGCTTGGGGCGATGCTGGGGAACGTGTGTAGGAGAAGTGCTGGAAACAAAACTCAAGTAATTTAAAGCAGTGGGATGCAGTAGTTTTTATAAAAAACAGAAAGATCTTCACAAGGTCTGCTGGGAGACTGGAGGCTGTTTAATGAGCACGGTTGCTTTGAGGTGCAGTGGGAGCAGACTGAAGGGCTCGACCAGCTCGGCTGTGAGGAGGAACTGGCCCTGGGGCCGACGGTCAAAGCCGAGCATCTCAGTGGGTGTTCCCAGTGCTGGGCAGGCAAACCTGGCTCTGTCCCCTGCCTGCAAGCCCAGCGCCTGCTAGAAGTGCTATCTGGTCCTCAGCAGGACCACAGTAAGGGTGGAAATGTTGTCCCCTCTTCCCCTTTCCTTGTTAACGAAGCACATCTGGCACAAGCATTGGCTTAGCTCAGCATAAGCAGCCCTGCGGGTCAGGGAAGATGGAATCAGATCAATGGAAAGGGGCAAAGGTTTTGCCTTCCAGTGACTGCTGCTGGTGGGAAGAGGGGGAACTTGCACTGGGAATGGAGGTAGCCTCAGCATGATAATGCTAGCAATAGAATAATATCGGTTAATAGGTGATTATTAAGCTTGCGTCCTGCAGTGAACATCACCTCTGTACTGGGAGCAATGAATATGCAGCGAGGTGTTCCTACATTTCTTCCAGAGCGGTTTCAGTGATGTCATAGAAACAAAACTGCCCCAGGTTGGAGCATTTCTGAATCCTGTGTGCCTGCAGTAGCGATATCAGCCTCTGTCTGGTGGAAAAAATGTAAGGTTTGGCTTTCTGGAGCCTATGCGATAGGAGAAAGTGGAATTAAACTGCGCTTTCCCCAGAAAGAGTAAATAACCGCAGCTTGCCAACAAAGTTGCTGAAACGCAGAATTAAAAAGTCTGATTAAATCCCTAAAATCTGTCCACTTCACAGTAAGTGGAAGTGGTTGTATTTTCCCTTTTCCATATGTTTAGATTCAGTGAAGGTGTTTCAGTTAACGTAGATCAGCACTCAAACACCCCCTGCACCATTTCGCTGCCTACTCACTGCAAAGCCTCAACTACCGGGGCCAGCAGCACAGCTTCTCTTCAGGAAACTCAAGTTTTTCCAGTCTTTTCAGAAGATCTAGGCAAGGAAAAAGAACAGCTACAAGTACGGAGCGGGAGGAAATTCAAGGAAGCTGTCGCTGTGAATGCTGAGGCTTTACTAGGCGGTGAATTAATCTCTGACCAGATTTACTGGATAAATAGAAAGGGTTTTTACAGTGTGCAGTACTGTAATTAAATATGAAAATCTGACTTAGACATGTCCTAGAGAAGACTATGATTGGTTTTATGTAGTCTTTGAGTTGCCCAGATGCCTCGTCTGTACTCGTTGATGAGTTTTGCTCTGGCTGCCAGGAGGTTCATGTTCAGATGAGAGCTGAGCCCTCCGGATGAAAATCACCAATTCTGGTTGGGCAGGACCCTGCTTGCATGCAAGCTTCAGTTTTTAACCCAGCGATGTAAAAGCTGAAAGGAAAATGCACAAATGTAAAACAAGTTTAGTCAGCAGTAAAACATGACTTGTGCTCCTTGGCAGTTGACAGCTTCCCAAGCAAGAGACAGATGCATGCCTCAATGGATTATCATTGTATGCTGGGGGTGTTAGAATTGCTTTAATATTTGATTGAAGTAACATACAATTTTCTTGAAACCAGGTTACATTTGACTACGTACAAGTGTCTGGAAAAAAGTACAGTGTTGGAGGGGATGTTTGTGCGTGTGTTGTAAACATGCCTGGGATTTAACTGTGAACCACCATCTGAGAATACCGGTTTGAATTTAATTTATTTTTTTTTTTAGCTTGTGAGGCAGCAGAGGTTTTCATACTCGGTTTTGTAGTCATTAGATAAATGCGTTGTGTATTTGACAGGGAAACCTAAGCAGTCAGTTACCCTGGGATGAGGCCTTAGGGTTGCTGGCTGGCTCTGGGCATCATGCGTTAAAATCCATTTACTTAAATTTGGTGAAGTCCTAAGGGGTTGAAAATAAAGGCAGTTTCTCAGTTTGAGTGCCAGAATTGCTCTGAAGAGGGTAATTGGTTAATTGGGCTCATTTCTGCCTCAGTGCCTTGAAAACATGATACGGTGAATTGTGTACTGCTGCTGGGGCTCCCGCACCCCTCCAGCTGATTTATTTCTCTGAGCAGAACAAAGCTAACAAATCTTCATCTATTTCTTGTTGTCATACCGTCTCACATGGTAATCGAGAATGTTTTGGAGCAGAGACTTTGGGGGTTATGCCGTGACTGCAGAGCCTATGGCACGGTGGCTGGGTGGGTCTGGGGGTTTTCATTAGTGCCAAAAATGAGGACTGTGGCAGGGTGAGCTTGGTGCTGGGGGAGCTGGACCTGTATTTGAAGGTATGCTCTGAGGGACTTTAGGAAGTCACTAAATCGCATCCTGCTCTATCTTTTTTGTCCAGCCAGTTTCAGAATGATGCTTGTTCACCTCACTGAGTCTCGCAAAGGTTTCAGATACAACCTGTGAAGACCGCTGAGACTTTTTTTGGGAAGAAGTGATTTATTACCACTTGACATTGCCTTCCTTTAAAACGTTTTGCTGCTTGTGTTTTTCCTTATCCCCTCGTGTCTGGAAATCCCCTTCCAGTTGCAGTTTTGTGCTTTGGCTGTTCCTGCTTCCCCATCTGGGTGTGAGCACTTGGCTGCATCTGTGTCCCAGTCAGAACTGGGATTCGGCCGTGGAGCACCTTGTCGTAACAGGAGCGCTGCAGGAGAGCTGGAGTCTGCCCAAAACCAGCCCTAGTAACTGCAGGCACCTTGATTTGTAACATCCCTCTCTCATTTTTTAATAGGATTTCGCAACCTGCATGTGGATGACCAGATGTCAATAATCCAGTACTCCTGGATGGGCCTTATGGTTTTTGCTATGGGCTGGAGATCTTTCACCAATGTCAACTCCAGGATGCTCTATTTCGCTCCAGATTTGGTCTTCAATGAGTAAGCGTGAAATAACAGTTGAATCTTGTGGTTTGGGTCAGACTAGGTGAGAAATGAGAGCAAGACGAGGAGTTGGCTTTCCCATCTGCCCATGAAATGTGCACCTTGAGGAATCATGTTTTCAGAGCTGACCAACAAAGAGTAGGAGGGCCCTGCTTTTCCCCTCTGATTGCTCTGCAGTGGTCTCCAGGAGCAGTAAGAAGACTTACAATGTCTCTCTTGGTCCTTCTTCCCTTTCCCTCAACCCTTTGCCATGGGTTCGGCTTCTCATCAGGGCAGCAGCAAGTGCTGGTGCTGGGTCTGTCAGTCCAGACCTGCCTTTTTTCTGAGGGATTTGAGTTCCTCTTTTCAGCTTTATTGGTGAGCTGGAGCAAGCAGGAACAGAGAGAAATGTATACTGTAAGTTCCTGGTGGGTTCTCTCTGATGTACTATCAGCTTAGAGTTGGGTAGGGTTCAACAGCACAAACAAACAAAACCCACACTTTTTTTCCCTTCCCATCCTTTGTGGATCACCCCATTTGGTGAATCACTGCAGTCATTTTTCAGGAAGGCAAAGCATCAAACCAACCCTGCAAATCCCAGGTAGTTAGCCATTTCCAGGTGGAGAGGATTACACACAGGATTTTGGAAAATGTTCCTCTGCTGCATGCAGGCCTATTGCTGCCAACATCCTCTAAGACAGCCCAGGTTCTTGACATGGGGAGGTGCAAGGTGAGGCTGGGGTTGCTGGTTTGGGCAAAGCGTGTCCTCCTCCACACATCGCACCACTTTGATCTCCTCACCACGTGTTTCGCATCTCCCCTGCTAGGTACCGGATGCACAAATCCAGGATGTACAGCCAATGTGTCAGGATGCGGCACCTCTCTCAGGAGTTTGGGTGGCTTCAGATCACACCCCAGGAGTTTCTCTGTATGAAGGCTCTACTGTTCTTCAGTATTAGTAAGTACTCACATCCTTTCCTCCGCGTATCTCCAGTTGCTGTGTGCTGTGTTGCCTTAGAGGTATTCTCTCCCTGTGCATGTACTTGTGTTTCCCAAGGGATGGCTGTGGCTGTTCTCCAGCCTGCTTCAATCTCTGTGTCCTTCCCATGTCCCATCCAGTTCCAGTGGACGGCCTGAAGAACCAGAAGCTCTTTGATGAACTTCGAATGAATTACATCAAGGAACTTGACCGTATCATCGCTTGCAAGAGGAAGAACCCTACCTCCTGCTCTAGGCGATTTTACCAGCTCACCAAGGTCCTGGACTCCGTGCATCCTGTAAGAGAGGACAGTGAAATGTCTATCTATGCACATAAGAAACAATATACAAAAGAAACTTTTTACAGTGAGAAGTATCATTTACAGGAACAACCTCCCAAGGTGCTGGTAGTCCCCATCACTGGAGGTTTTCAAGATGCGATGGGGCAGGGTGCTAGGTAGGCTCCTCTAGGCTCCCCATCCCAGGAAACGCTGGACGGGGGTCACCTTTCAAGGTCCCTTCCAACCTGGGATGTTTGATGGCTCTGAGATTCTGTGTGGTTTGTGTTTTGGGGGTACCTTTGCAGGGACAGTATTGCCATGTGCTCCCAGACTAAGACAGGCACTAAGTTATTTGTGTCTGTTGCTCCCTGCAGTAATCACTCTTGTGCATGGGTTTATGGGCTCCCTTTTTTAGCAATGAAAAACTCTTTGTAGATGATACTTTTCCAGCAGAAGAGCTCAAAATCTCAGTGTTGCCAATGAATCTTCTCTGATTACAGCAGTGAAAACAAATTCTGTATTTGTGACTTAAAATTGTACTGGTGAAAGGGGAACTAGACCTCTCCTCTTTCCTGGGACTCAGCTCCATGCCCATGCAGTTACATGTGTGAAAACCCAAAGTAATTCTTAATAAGTGAAGTCAGCAGCACCTGCACACAATAAGACAAGTTTCTTGTCTAAAAAAGTGCTGTTTTTATACATCCCTGTTTCTGTGGGACTCAGCAATACACAACGTGCTCCTGGGCTGGGTAGTTCCCTCACTTATCCTTGGACACATACCAGCCGTTTGGTAGCTGCTATAGCAAGGTGGTGATGGCCAGGGAGTAAAGCAGGTCCAGGGCTGACCTGCAGTGCCTGCTGATGTCTGCCCAGAGAAATCGCTGCCCAAGGACTTCTCGCTTAACACGCTTTTTTCCTTTCCCAGATTGCCAAGGATCTGCATCAGTTTACATTTGACCTTTTGATTAAGGCACACATGGTGAGCGTGGACTACCCCGAAATGATGGCCGAGATCATCTCTGTGCAGGTTCCCAAGATCCTGTCTGGAAAAGTCAAGCCCATCTACTTCCACGCACAGTGACCTTCCCGAGGGACCTCCTGGCTCTGCTGCCCCCGTTTCAGCCATCTCCTGCCTGTTATTTCTGCACTACTGCACTGCAGTGCCTTGGGGAATCCCTTCTACGGAGGTGGTGTGCCAAGACAAGGGACAGTGACAAGCAATGACCTGCTGGGATTCCTGAGATTTCTATTTTTCTTGAGGTTCCTCTGAACCAAACTGCCTGTCGTGGCTTTGTGGTGCAGGGACAGGGGACTGTGGCGCGGTGGCAGTGGCGCTGTGTCTGCACTCTCTCGTTTCTTGTTTTTCACAGTGACTTTTAGTGGCCCAGGACCACAGGAGATCGGGGAGAAATGCCAGCAGTTGCTGGGTTTGGCTTTTATTTTTTTAAAACAGAACAAGACCAGAAGTTTGAGTTCAACTCCAGTTGAGTTTGGATGCGGGTTAATTTACCGGCCTCCTTCAAGACTTTTTATTTGGATTATGGTGCTGGAAAGCAGTCCAGTTAAAATATTGCAGTAGAAAAAGAGAGAAGAATTAGGGAATAAGATGAATTTGCAGCCTGATGCATTTACTGGACCTGCTGCTGGGTCAGAGCGCTGCTGTGCAACCATTGTGGTCTCTGCCCCGAACAAGATGCTGCTGCCGCAGCAGCGTGGACAAGCATCTGTGGGAGCTGATGGAGCATTATGGGGTGGCCAGCAAAAGGGCTGGTGGGGAAGATCTCCTTCAAAAATCCCCAGAGGTGGCGAGTGGCTGCTGATTTCCACCTGGGATGTTTCAAGCCGGGGTGCTCAGCCATCACGTTCCCATCCTCCACAGCCGTTCCCACCTCCACAAGTGCCTGACGCCCTCAAGCCTCATGCTCTGCCCTCGTCCCAGGGGCACCTGAAGCCCCCTGCTCTCCCCCTCACCGGCTCTGCTCCCCCTGCGTGTCCGCAGACCCCAGTTTTCCAGCTACACTACTTATTTTCCATTTGTCCCACCTATTCTTTACAATGCCAGCAGATGAGCATCCAGGGCACGAAGCAGCAGGACTGGGATCTGCTGGACCTGCGATGCTGCAGAGCTTTTGTCGTTAACCCTGTCCTGCTAATTGTGGTGGTTAATTGCAGCCTGGGGGACACCGTCTGACACTCACCATCCCACGTGCCCTGTACCATCGCCTGTCCCCAACAGCTCCACGAGGCGTGGTGGTGGCATGGCCACAGGCCGCAGCTCCTGCCATGAGGATCAATGTGCCATGGCTATCGGCCACTGGGTCCACAGCCAGCAGACAGCGGCTGCTGTGGGCCTGCACGCTGCTGGTGCCTGCCAGCAGTCGGGGATATCTGAGAAAAGCCACCTTGGTTTGTGTAGCCTAAGCGTTGGCTTGACTCCGCTTCATACCTCACATTGGGAAGGAAACGCGGGTCCACCTGACGCCTGTATTCAGCTTGCTTTATTTGGGAGTGGGCTCAGCTTCCCACAAAACAGCCAAACCTGCGTTTCCCCCAGTTTTTCAGTTCCCCGCTGCCTGCGCAGCCGTGAGCCCACCAAAACTGCCTGGGTTTGACCTGGGTGTCAGCAGGCATGGCACGAACAGGCCTTTGCCAGGGTAATAATGCATGAGCTTTTTAGGCCAATTGCCATGTAGGTGCCATGCAGAAAACAGTGCTAATGGTTCTGCTGGTTGGACCTTTCGTGAGCTGAGCATCACCATCAGCAAATGCCCTCATGGTACATCTGGGTTCTTTGCAAGCTCTCGGCAAGAACAAACGATTTCTCTGATACTTTTCAATGATGCGATGGGATTTTTCATTAAGGGAAGGAGTAGGGGAAAAAAGCCCAAAGCTATCGAAGGGAAGGATCTCTTTGCAGTTATTTGTAATGGGTTTTCCTCCCCTGCTAGATGTGGCTCTGATCATGCTCTTCCTCCTGAAATCCCTTTGTGTAGGTGGCAACAGAGTCTATAGATAACCTTCCCGCATGCCAGCCAACAGGACGGTGTTCTCCATAGCTTTTCCTATTTTTGAGGGCAGCAAGCATTTTAAATGTTGGTATCGTCTATTAATATTTACAAATGAACCAGTTAAAAAAATCCTGCTGGTGCATTTTTTGGCTATTAGCAGAAGAATACAATGAACAACTGGGTTGGTAATGCCCTGATCCATCATCAACAGGAGGATGTTTATGAGCAACCTGAATGGCTCCTCTGGAGACCTTTGTATTTTGTACAAGCTGGTGTCAGTAAAGTTTTCCTTAGTAAATGAGAGCAGAAGTACCTGCTGGGTACTTTTCTGCTGGGATCCTGGGAAGAAATCAAATTGAATAGGGATTTGCATAGCCTGATTTCCTGGTGGAAGCATAGTGCAAATGAAAATTGGTTTAGAAGGTTCGCTGTCTGTGTATCTACTGCCAGCTGTGTGCAGCTGCTCCGACCACATACACATTATGAAGGGAGCAGGACCCCATGTGCAGCACCTGGGGGTGATGGGCAAGGGGGCAGCCCCAGCTCTCTGCCCTCACGTGGGGCACTGGGGTGGTGTCCTCTGTCCCTTCAGCATCAAACTTCTGCCACTTTTTTAATTCAAAAATTGACTTCTTATGATGTTATTAGAGAGATAACTGGAGGATGGGGAAACCAGTAGCACCAGCCCCTGTGTGTCTATTTGCTGGGGAGAGTTAACACAGTTTCCTTGTTTATTTTCATGGGCTGCTGCAAGAACTGGAGCAAAAAGAGACTTCAGGATTACCAAAGTCTAGGTCCTGCCATGTATCTTTGTACTTTGTGTTTTCTCGTCCGCTTTTGCTTTAATAAAGCAAAGAGAATTTCACCATCTTCGTACTCATGTAGATGCTGTCCCTGATGCAGCTGAGCCCCAGGAGCAGGGACCCCACTGCGCAGGTCCCCGTCACCTGCGGCGTCGCTGCCTCTGCTCTGGTGTAGAGCGTGGGCTTCTGTGCTGGGTCCGCAGCTCAGAGCATCCGAAGGCAGCAGATGGAAACCAAGGAACACACGTGCTGGGAAGCAGCATTTTGCATGAAAGGGTACGATTTCATGAGATAACGGGTGCGAGATGAGGTTGCCTTTAGACAGTGCAGGAGGGATGCTTCCTCTGCAGATGTGATGCCAGAAGGGAGCTGGGTGATGCACTCTCGCTGCAGAGAGAGGGCAGGACGGTCACCACCATTGGCGCTGGCCCCGAGCTGCCCTTGCGTGCAGAGTCCCCTGCCAGCACAGGCTGTCCCTGCCGCTCCC